TAAGGAAATAGAAATTAAAACCACATAAGCTATCACCTCACACCTGTTAGATGGCTATTATCAACAAGATGAAAAATAATAAGTGTTGGCAAAGACGTGGAGATAAAGGAATCCTGTACTTTGTGGTGGGAATGTAAATTAGTACCGTCATTATGGAAAGTGGTATAAAGATTTCTCAAAAAAACTAAAACTAAGCCAGGTGTGTTGACACATGCCTGTAGCCCCAGATACTTGGGAGGCCGAAGCGGAAGGATAGCTTGAGTCTGTCTGGTTCAAGGCTGCAGTGAGCTATAATTGTGCCACTGTACTCCAGCCTGGGTGACAGAGCACGACTCAGTCTCTTAAAAAAAAAAAAAAAAAAAAAACAACTACCAGCAATCTGACTTCTGGATATACGTCCAAACTACTCCCATGCTTATTGCAGTATTATTCACAATAGCCAAGATACGAAATCAAACTGTCAGTGGATAAATGAATGAAGAAAATGTGGTATATTTGGAATACTATTCAGCCTTTAAAAAGGAAATTCTGCCATTTGCAATAGCATAGATGGAACTGGAGGACACTATGCTAAGTGAAAGAAGCCAGTCACAGGAAGACAAATACTGCATGATCTCACTTCTAAGTGGAATCTAAAAAAGCTGAACTCATTGAAGTAGAGAGCAGAATGGTAATTACCACATGCTAGGGAAGGGAGTGAGGAATGAAGTTTTTCATTAAAGGGCATAAGGTTTCAGTGAGGAGGTTTGAGATCTATTGCATGGCAGAGTGACTACAGTCAATAAAATGTATTGTATATTTCAAAATAGCTGAGCAAATTTCAAATGCCTCACCACAAAAAATAAGTGAGGAATATGTTAGCTTGATTGAATCATTCCACATTGTGTGTGTGTGTGTGTGTGTATAAAACATCACATCATACTCCATTAATGTAAAAAATTTTGATTTATCAATTAAAAGTAATATTAGTAAGTTAAAAAGCTAATGTATTGATGGATTAATATCATTAAAGATAACATTGAAGAGAAAAAACAGCTAGACAGTATGATATCAGATATAGAAAACATGCAGAATAGAGAATGCGAACATTTGCAGAAAAGAATGCATTGGAATAATATATGCCAAATTCCAGGGAATGGGTACATCAGGAAATGGAAGGGAGTGGGATCATTAAAGATACATAGGGGTCTTTTCTTTTACCTATAGTATTATTTTATATTATTATTTTATTTTAGGCAGGGTTTCCTTCTGTTGCCCAGGCTGGAGTGCAGTGGCATTATCACAGTTCACTTCACGGCAGCCTCAACCTCGCAAGCTCAAGTGATCCTCCCATATCAGCCCCTCAAGTAGCTGGGACCACAGGGGTGCACCACCATGCTTGGCTAATTTTTTTATTTTTTTGTAGAGATGGGGTTTCGCCATATTACCCACGCTGGTCTCAAACTCCTGAGCTCAAGCAATCCTCCTGCTTTGGCCTCCCAAAGTGCTGGGACTACAGGTGTGAGCCACTGCTCCTGGCCTGTATTTTATTTCTTAACCTAGGTGATCAATAGTATGCATACTTGGTTCATTCAGATTTCTGCACCTGAAATACTTCATAATTCTAAAAAATATTCTTTCTAGAAACCAATACTTTGAGGAAGGTTGAAGGAGTTAGATACTGTTAGCCTATGATTGCCATTTCCAAATATTTGAAGGAACATGTATAAGAAAAAGGTATTCTGCTTCGCTAATGCATATGTACAAGCATTTGTTAACTATAGGTCACATACATTTTGCTATCACTGTTTCAGAAGACAGAATTAGGACAAACGGGAACAAACTACAAGGAGGAGGGTAGATTTGGGCTCAATATACAGAGACATGTTGAACAATGAGGCAGCATGGTGTCAGAGATGAGAGTAAGACAGTTGGAGCCAGCCTTCCTGGGTTCAGTGCTTGGCTCTGCTCTTTGTAGGCAGTATGACTTGGGGCAAATTATTTAACCTCTCTGTGCCTGTTTCCCATTCTGTAAAATGGGAATAATATAGAGTGCCTACCTTGTAGGCTAGAATAAGGATTAAATGGTTATTTATAAAGTGCTTAGAACAGTGCCTGATATATAACAAACACTATATAAATGTTCATAAAATAAATCTAACAAAGAATCTAGCTGTTAAAGAGCCTGACTTGAAAAGCAGCAAACTCTTCAAGGGCTCATGCAAAGGCTTGATACCTCTTTAAGGATGGTGTAGGGGTATCCTTCTCTTCTAGTTTAGAGATGTATGCTTTTTAAACTTAAATATGCACAGAAACCACACAGGGATATTAAAATGCAAATTCTAAGCCAGTGAGCCTGAGGTGGAAGCTGAGATTCTTTCTTTTTAACAAGTGCCAATGCTACCGTTCTCCAGAGGACCACACTTTGAGTAGCAAAGCTCTAGATGGTTTTATTCCTACTGTCATACATCACAATTTCAAAGATGCTTAGTTTTTTTTTGTTGTTGTTATTGTTATTTTTGAGACCGAATGTTACTCTGTCGCCCAGGCTGGAGTGCAGTGGCCCAATCTTGCTCACTGCAACCTCTGCCTCCTGGGTTCAAGCAATTCTCCTGCCTCAGCCTCCTGAGTAGCTGAGATTACAGGTGCATGCCACCACACCCAGTTACATTTTTTGTATTTTTAGTAGAGACAGGGTTTTGCCATGTTGGCCAGGCTGGTCTCAAACTCCTGATCTCAAGTGATCAACCGGCCTCGGCTTCCCAAGTGCTGAGATTATAGACATGAGCCACTATGCCCAGCCTCAAAGATGCTTAGTTCTTATCTCTGATGAATTATCAATTTGCAGCCAATTCTAAATATAGTTTTCTCTCAAAACCAACTTTTGGCCCCATAATTAACCAACAATAGTTTGATTACTAAAACCACTAAAGGACTAAGATTTTTATTTTATTTTATTTTTGTAGAGATAGAGTTTTGACATATTGCTGGGGCTGTCTTGAACTTCTGGACTCAAGTGATCCTCCTATCTCGGCCTCCCAAAGTGCTGAGATTACAAGCGTGAGCCACTGTGCCTAAGGACTAAGTCTAGGACTAAGAATTTATAGAAGGTTTGGGGTGGTTATGTTTTATATAAACATATATATTTCCATAATGCACATAATTACTTTTTTTTTTTAAAGACATGGAGTCTTGCCCTGTCACCCAGGCTGGAGTGCAGAGGAACAATCATAGCTCACTACAGTATTTAACCCCTGACCCCAAGCAACCCTTCCACGTTAGGCTCCAGAATTGCTGGAATTATTAATACAAGAGGGACCCACTGAGCCTGGCAATAGTTACAATTTTTATATTAAATTCAGATTTTTGTCATTTGGATTTTCTTTTTTTTTTTTTTTTAAGACGGAGTTTCACTCTTGTTGCCCAGGCTAGAGTGCCGTGGCACAATCTCAGCTCACCACAACCTCCGCCTCCTGGGTTCAAGTGATTCTCCTGCCTCAGCCTTCCAAGTAGCTGGGTTAAGGCATGCGCCACCACACCTGGCTAATTTTGTATTTTTAGTAGAGATGGGGTTTCTCCATGTTGATCAGGCTGGTCTTGAACTCTTGACCTCAGCTGATCTACCCACCTCAGCCTCCCAAAGTGCTGGGATTACAGGCGTGAGGCACTGTGCCCAGCCCTTGGATTTTCTTAAAGCAGAAATATCCATATGAGAAATAAAAATAGTAAACTGGAAGGGGGGCAGCTCCTGCACTGCTTGGGAATCTACACTAGAGTCTGCATTTGATGTAATAGAGAAGAGGATGCCACTCTAGATTCCCGAGCAAGGAAGTGAGAGAAGAAAAACCATGTTTGGGAGCAGCATACATTGGAAAGGAGAATGTCAGGGCTCAAAGTGAAAATACAAAATACAGAATTGATAATTTTGTTAAAGTGTGGACATACGGTTCTGAGAGCTGCTAATGAGGAAGACCAGTGGGGTTAACATTTTACAATATATTAATTCAACAATAAGCTAAAGAGGCAAATTAGACTTCAGCGGACTCTGTTGAATCTTACCGGGCCCCAGTGGGAGCCTCAACTATTTGATACAGACACAACTGGACCTCCAGGTACAGTGTGAAATACGAGTATGTTCTGAAACAGATTTTCAACACTGATTCAGAACAGAAACCCCTAGTATGGTTTGCTACTTTGGGGATGGTTGGTGTGAGTTCTGGTGACTTGGTCCAAATTATACTCCATGCTTTATTTCCTTCAGGAGATCTTCTTTTTTATTTTTATTTATTTATTTATTTATTTTTGAGACGGAGTTTCGCTCTTGTTACCCAGGCTGGAGTGCAATGGCGCGATCTCGGCTCACCGCAACCTCCGCCTCCTGGGTTCAAGCAATTCTCCTGCCTCAGCCTCCTGAGTAGCTGGGATTACAGGCACGTGCCACCATGCCCAGCTAATTTTTTGTATTTTTAGTAGAGACGGGGTTTCACCATGTTGCCCAGGTTGGTCTCGATCTCTTGACCTCGTGATCCACCCGCCTCGGCCTCCCAAAGTGCTGGGATTACAGGCTTGAGCCACCACGCCCGGCTAGGAGATCTTCATTGATTATAGTTGACTCAGAACCATAGGGACCCCAGAGTTTAAGCCTTGGCTGTATACAGGCATTGAATCTTGTGGCTACTATGCACCTACTGTTTTGGAGCTTTGGCCACAAAGTGGTCGATGGTCATTCAACATAAAGCTATCAGAGGCTGGGCATGGTGGCTGATGCTTGTAATCCCAGCACTTTAAGGGGCCAAGGCAGGAGGGTCACTTGAGCCCAGGAGTATAAGACCAGCATGGGCAGACTAGTGAAACTTCATCTCTACTCTAAAAAAAAAAAAATGGTGGCACATGCCTGTAGTCTCAGCTGTCTGGGGAGGATCACCTGAACCCAGGAGTTTGAGGCTGCAGTGAGCTATGATCGCACCACTGACAGCACTCCAGTCTGGGCAACAGAGCAAGGCCCTGTCTCAAAAACTGTTTTAAGCTATTGGAACCAACTTCTGCTGCTGTCCCTAGGAGCACAATTTGCAAGAATCCTTAGATCTGAAATAGCCACTGAGTGGAGAGAAAGTGAAGAGGCAGTGAACAGTAAATTGCATTTCTTTGCTCCTCCACTTGTCTAGGTCAAAGTGGAGTTTCCTAGTCTGTGTTTTTTAAAAGTAGAACATGAAAGAAGTCAGGGAGAGACAGGAGAAGGAGGGTTTCAAGCAGATAATTCTAGAGTTTTCTTTAAAATTGAGTTACTTTTAATAGTTTTTTACTCACCACTACTGCACAGAAGTTGTATTTAGGATGTTTCCGGAAAATTGGGGAAATATAAGGAGTGAGGTCCAAGTTAGTGAGTGGGTAATGAATATCTGTTCTCAGCTTCCTTTTCATTGTACTCTGACTGTCAAACCTGCAGGAATAATACATGTGTAAAATACAAAGCTTGTGAACCACTCATTAACAAACTCTACATGACAAATTCCAAGTATTTTAAAAGCAATTTCTTGGCTGCGCACAGTGGCTCATGCCTGTAATCCCAGCACTTTGGGAGGCCAATGTGGGTGGATCCCTTGAGCATAGAAGTTTGAGACCAGCCTGAGCAACATGGCAAAACTCCTTCTCTACATAGTTTTTTTTTTTTTCATCTTTTTTTCTACATAGAATTCTTAATCTGTAGTCCCAGCTACTCAGAAGACTAAGATAGGAGGATCACCTGAGTGTAGGGAGGTTGAGGCTGCAGTGAGCTGTGGTCCAGCCCTGTACTCCAGCCTGGCTGACAGAGTGGGCCCTGTTTCTAAAAAAAGTAATTTTTTGCCAGGCACAGTGGCTCACATCTGTAATCCTAGTACTTCAGGAGGCTGAAGTGGGTGGATCACTCAATGTCAAAAGATTGAAACCAGTCTGGCCAACATGGTAAAACGTCATCTCTACTAAAAATTGAATAAAAATTAGCCGGGTATGGTGGTGGATGCCTGAAATCCCAACTACTCAGGAGGCTGAGGCCAGAGAATCACTTGAACCTGGGAAGCCAAGGTTGCAGTGAGCCGAGATGGCACTACTGCACTCCAGCCTGGGTGACAGATCACTTGATGTCAGGAGATCGAGATCATCCTAGCTAACACAGTGAAACCCCATTTCTACTAAAAATACAAAAAATTAGCTGGGTATGGTGGTGGACGCCTGTAGTCCCAGCTACTCTGGAGGCTGAGGCAGAAGAATAGCTTGAATGCGGGAGGCAGAGGTTGCAGTGAGCCAAGATTGCACCACTATACTCCAGCCTAGGCAACAGAGTGAGACTCCATCTCAAAAATAATAAAAATAATAATTTCTTGGAAAGATTATTTGATACAGACTTATAGGTAAATTACTTTTTTCTTATCTATTTAAATACCACATCCACAAGCCTCATCAAAATGAGACTGGAATTTTAATCAGGCAGTGAAATCATAAAGATTCAAGCTAAACTAAATCTAGTGGGGCAAAAAGAAAGGAACATCCAAGGCACAGCACTGGGGGAAGAGGAAACCCCACTGATAATTCCTGAGGCTTTTGCTCCAACTGAGCCTATTTATTATAACCAGGCTGGCTCAGCTGTTCCTTATCTTGATTTCAGCATGGGTGGTCTTGGCAATGTCCTGTTGTCAAGCTGAGGGTGTTTTTTTTTTTTTTTTAATGTTTTAATAAGAACATTTTGTGAAAAATCTTTCACATTCTGTATTGTTACATAGATCATAAGTTCGCATATCTGGGCTCACATCAGAGATACTCAGAAGCTTTTTAAAAAAATAATTATTTGGCCGGGCGCGGTGGCTCAAGCCTGTAATCACAGCACTTTGGGAGGCCGAGGCGGGTGGATCACGAGGTCAAGAGATCGAGACCATCCTGGTCAACATGGTGAAACCCCGTCTCTACTAAAAATACAAAATATTAGCTGGGCATGTTGGCGCGTGCCTGTAATCCCAGCTACTCAGGAGGCTGAGGCAGGAGAACTGCTTGAACCCGGGAGGCAGAGGTTGCGGTGAGCCGAGATCGCGCCATTGCACTCCAGCCTGGGTAACAAAAGCAAAACTCCGTCTCAAAAAATAATAATAATAATAATTATTATTATTATTATTATTTGGGAAAATGGCTGATGTAGGTCTGAGGCTGGGAAATTACTGAGACTGAGACACTCATGTGCCAAAAAGCAAAATACCTTGTTTGCAAAAACTAAGGGAATGCCATGTGAACAAGCAATTCCATACCTAAGTATCATCCCAAGAGAAATGAAGACTTAGGCCCACATAACAAGCTATCTGCTAGTGTTTGTAGAAGCTGTATTCCTAACTACTCAAAACTGTAAACAACTCAAATGTCCATCAACTGGTGGAGACATAAACAACTGTGGTATACTCATAAAAAGGAATAGCACACAGCAATAAAAAAGGAACCACTAATGCATGCAACAACACATATCTCAAAAGCATCATGCTAAGTGAAAGAAAAACTCTAAAAGCTACATACAGTATGACATAGCACATTCTGGAAAACACAATTATAAGGATGGAAATCAGATTAGCAATTTCCATAGGCTTAGGGATGGGGAGGAGAATGATTAGGAACATGAGAGACCTTTTTGGAGTGATGGAAATGGTCTATATGTTGGTTGTAATGATTACATGACTGCATACATTTGTCAGAATTCCTAGAACTGTGCACCTAAAAAGAATACATTTTGTGTAAGCATACCCTACTAAACTAACTAATGGAGGTCCCAGAAGCTGACTTGAAAGGGCTCCCACTCGCCAATTTTGAACAATTTGAACACCGAAAGCAATGATGAGAGACGTCTGGTTTTCAGTTCTACGAGTAAGGAAACTTGGAAGTCACCATTCTGTCCTAACAAGAAGTTAATAGCTAAAAAAAGCTTTTGGTTATTTTCCTTTCTCCTGGGAGGAAAGAATTAACTGAAATAAAAATAAACAGCTCTTCTTAGATCTGAAAGAGCAGTGAGGTCACAGGACAAACCACCACCCTCAAAATTGGAAAAACAGACCAGCAAACATAGAAAATCACAAACTTACGGGAGCCAAAACTGCAGAGCAGAAACTTCTGAGGGAACAGGTCTGCGTAGGAAAACTTGAACTGTAATTGAGGAATTGCTGGAGGCTCAGTACAGATTCTGAGAGTTAAAAATTCCAAGGAACCTAGTCACAGGGGGGCCCACACTTTGTGAGTTTTCCTTCCAGGAGCCCAATCACATTGTCACAGTAAATATTAGAGACAAATATTCTCATGCTTTGGGCAGGAAGAAGGGAAAGAAGCCATTCTGAAGTATGCTAGAGCACCCTCTTCTTAACAATGCCTGCCCACAGGAGAAACTCATTAACCAGATCCTAGCCTGCTGGGATTTTATCAGCACTTAACTCATCTGGGGGAAGGAAAATCCCCAACTCCAGCCCACTCTAACCATCCTGTTCCACCAAAGGGGGTGTGGAGGGACTGAGGAGCACTTACGAAGTTCGGAGTCTGGAGGCATAGTTTCATTGAAAGACTGAGACCTCTCACACCTATAATCCTAGCACTTTGGGAGGCTGAGGGGGGCAGATCATGAGGTCAGGAAATCGAGACCATCCTGGCCAACATGATGAAACCCCGTCTCCACTAAAAATAATAATAATAATAATAAAATTAGCTGGGCATGGCAGCAGGTGCCTGTAATCTCAGCTACTCGGGAGGCTCAGGCAGGAAAATCACTTGAACCAGAGAGTTGGAGGTTGCAGTGAGCCGAGATTGCACCACTGCACTCCAGCGTGACAACAGAGTGAGACTCACTGAAAGAATTACAGAATGCTTCCCCTCTCACTCTGCCTTACACCATGTCATTAAGGTCTATTTACGTCAGCTGTTCTTACCCAGTTCATCATATCTGGCTATCAGGAAAAAATTACAAGGCATACTAAAAGGCAGAAGCACAGTTTGAAGAGACAGTAAGCATCAGAACCAGATAGGGTGTGGGAATTATCAGACTGAATTTAAAACTGATTAACACACTAAGGGTTCTAATGAATAAAGCATGCAAGAATATATGGTCAAGGTAAGTAGAGACTTGGAAATCCTAAGAATGAACCAAAAGAAATGCTAGAGTATAGCGGTTACTTTAAATTAAAAAAAAAAAGCTAGAGGTATCCTTTTTGGTATAGTGGTTAGTTTTTTGTTTTTTTTTAATGCTAGATGTAAAAAAAAACACTAACACATGAAGAATTCCTCTGATGGGCTTATTAGTAGACTGGACACAGCTGAAGAAAGAATTTCTACTGAGCTTAAGGAAACTCAGCAGAAACCTTTACAACTGAAAAGAAGAAAGAAAGGGGACTGGCTGGGCTAAGTGGCTCACACCTGTGTTCCCAGCACTTTGGTAGGCCAAGGTGGGAGAATCACCTGAGCCCAGGAGTTCAGGACCAGCTTGGGCAACAAAGTCAGAGTGCCCCCACCCCACCCCCAATCTCTACTAAAAAAGAAAAAAGAAAGAAAATAGACTGGAAAAAAAGCGCAACAATATCCAAAGACTGTGAGACAACTACAAAGATGTAACATCTGTGTAATGGAAATATCAAAAGGAAAAAAGAAAAGAACAGAAAAAAAATTTGAAACAATAAAGATTCAGTTTTCCCAAATTAATGCCATACACCAAACTACAGATTCAGGACGCTCAGAGAACACCAAGAAAGAAAAATGCCAGAAAAATGTTACCTAGGCATTTCATTTTCAAACTGCAGAATATCAAAGATAAAGAAAAAAATCCTAAAAGAAGCCAGAGTGGGAGTCAGGAAAAACCACGCCTCTAGAGGAGCAAACATAAGAATTACAACTAACTTCTCAGAAACCATGCAAACAAGAAGAAAGTGAGATAAAATACTGAAGATGTTAAAAGGAAAAAACCCACCGGATAAGAATTCTGTACCCTGTAAAATTAACCTTCAAAAGTGAAGAGAAATAAAGACTTCATTGGACAAATAAAAATTGAGGGAAATTGTTGCCAGTAGACCTGCCTGGCAAGAAATGTTCAAAGAGGCCAGGCGCGGTGGCTGATGCCTGTAATTCCAGCAGTTTGGGAGGCCTGGGCAGGTGGATCACTTGAGGTGAGGAGTTCAAAACCAGCCTGGCCAACATGGTGAAACCCTGTCTCTACCAAAAATACAAAATTAGCCTGGCATAGCAGTGCAGGCCTGTAGTCCCAGCTCCTCTGGATGTGGAGGCAGGAGAATTGCTTGAACCCAGGAGGCAGAAGTTGTAGTGAGCCAAGATCGCACCACTGCCCTCCAGGCTGGGTGACAGAGTGAGACTCCATCTCAAAAAAAAAAAAAAAAAAAAAGAAATTTTAAAAGAAATTCTTTACAGAGAAGGAAAATGATATAGGTCACACACTTG